TTTCTACTATTTCTAATATTATATTCTTTTTTTTTCTTTTTCTAATTCTTGGTTTCTTTTTGATCTAAATGCTAATATATTGTTGGGATATAATTGGTCCCACATGATCGATGTGCAGGAGAATGTTCACAGGTATATGATTGATAGTAAGATCAATATAATTAAGAAGGTTGTATAACTTAATGGCATAATAGTTACAATGTAAAGTCAGATTTGAATTGTATTAGTAATAGAGTTATCAATATAAAAGTCTAATTTGTATAGTATAATCGATTTATGGTGTAAGCTCACATGAGCAATAATTAAATAAATAGAAGGTTTGATTCTAAAGATCGAACCTAGACTTTGAATTTTGTTAAATAAACTAATACCTTAAAGAGAATGTTGTGGACTACAATTTGAGTAGTAACGTTGAAGAGAAGGTGACGAGTAGGAAAATAAAGAACAGAGTAATGTTAAAGCAAATAAAGTAACACACTATTTAACTAACAAACCAAGACCGTCTGCTAGTATTTTATTTTCAAGGATTTATTAACCCCTTGTCAGGAAGAACCTGGGCAACTTCAGTATCTCTCGCAAGAGAAGCCATAATGATCATACAAAAGAAAGCCGTAATGATCATACAAAAGAAAGTCGTAATGAACAAACAAAGAAAGTCGTAACAGATGAATAAAAGAAAGTCGTAACAAACGTATAAAGAGAACATTGTAATGAACAAAAATAATAATAATATATATTAGCAACCTTAGAATTTACATAACTAAAAGCGCAAGAACGAAATTACAAACCTGTCTATAATACAAGGTTATAAGCAATGACAATTGTAACACTATGGTATACTAAGTCAACAAGAAAAATCTACCAGTATACAAGAAAGTAGGAATATTAGTAGGTATATAAGAAACAAGACACATATGGGAAGTATAGATATGACAATACTTGTATACCGTAGTGCTGAGGTTGATGATATAGAAAACTTCTTTTTCGATTACGAAGGCTATGCTAAAGCAAAGAAATATAATGAAGAGACCATTTGCTTTAGAGTATATATGCATATGCCTGAGAGCTCAAGGATGTAGATACGAAAGTTAGTGCAAACCAAAAAGGATTGGACCAACCTGAAACAGAAAATCATAAGTAAGGTTAAGGCGGACAATGAATCTGAATTAAAGATAGTTTGGTTGAAACATTTGAAGCAGGGTAATAAGGAGTCTGTTAGAGAGTATACAAATAGGTATGAACCTGTGCTGAAATTGTGAAAAATTAACTCAGGACCGATGAGAAACATGATTGGTTCATACAAGGCCTAAAGGAGCCATACTATTCAAAAGTTGAAAATTATTATCCTAAAGATTATGAGAAAGTGAAGAAGAAAGCGTTGGGTATAGAAGAATATAAGAGAAAAAGAGATCATAGATATGAGGATCAACCTACATCTGAGGATACACCTTATTTCAATAAGCCTGATGCAGATATTGACAGTCTTGTGACTAAACTTGCGGCTTTGAAAATCAATTGTATGGATCAAGAAGGACAATTAAAGTGTGATTAGGTTGAAAACCTAATTCAGAACATTATAACCAAAATGATTAAAGGAAAGAATCAAAGAACCAGCCAACTATGTAGGACAAAGACACGAATATGCTACTCGTGCCATCAGGAAGAACACATTGCGAAAGACTATCCAAATCAAAATAAAAGTAATTATCTAGTCAATAAAAATGTTAAGTTCAATAATACCAATATGTGTATAGTGGAGTTTACAGAAGCAAGTTCTGAAAGTCCTGATGAATACTTAAAAGTGGAGATAGTAGATGATAATGCAAGCTATAATTTAAGATCTGTAAGTAAAAAGAAAAGAGAAGATAGTATAGGAGAATTAAATGAACATTTGTATAAGAAAG